GGCCGTACTGCAGTATCCACAAAACGAGGAGTCGTGCAGCAGGCTGGTGTCCCGGCGCCGTACAGTCCGATCGTCCCAGCTGCTTCGCCAGTGCCGCAGGGAACGATGCCAAATTTTGCCGGACTAAAACCCGGTGCCTTTAACCAGTCCAGCGTCATGGTGCTGTTGGCAAGAGCGCAATATGCCCTCTTTACACTTGGATGGAACCCCACTGTGGGCGATTTTGCCCTCTACTGCGCAACCACGAATGAGCTGGTGTGTACAAAGAAGGAAATGCTATGGAAGGCGGCAATGTGGATGGAGGAACGTATAGGTGAGGATTTCATTGCGGGCATTCTGTTTCCCAGTGATGGCTCCATTCCTCTAAAGGACGCGGCAGTTCTGTTAAGGGAAAAGTCTCGTAGGCGACTGGTTTTGGCCCCAGATACTTGGGGCATTACTTACTTGTCTATCAAGAGTCAGCAAGAGTTTGTGCGAGGTTTGAATATTCCGACCAGTCTGGAGCATGCCGCCTTTCATCTCACAGGGAAGGTGTATAAACCTGTCGTCACAGATCCATCGGTGTTTGATTTTACAACTGGATCTTATATGTCGTCGGATTGCGCCGATAATATTTCCGCCGCACGCGATGCTCTTGTTAACTGGTGTGTCCTATTCAACGTGCACAAACGATTCGGTACAAAGGGCAACCGAAAGGTCATGGATCCTATTGACCAGATTGTGCGACGGGTGGTGAAGGCCGTCAATGTGTTTGTGGTAGACATTGACGTGCGGGTTGGGAAAGGCACCATCGCGGAGGGCTTCACGATGATTGTAACAATCTACGATGCCCAAAAGAGGACCCAGACAGTTCACATGATTCGCAGTTTGTCGGAGGAGACCACAAAGCGCAACGCTCTGAATGGAATACTGTACGGTGAGGGCACCTCCTCCATTTCGCTTTTTGTCCCAACAGCCCGCACAAAGTCGGCGCAACTTCTTGCCTTTGCCCGGAGCTGTCGTCCATCATGTCCGTTCTTTGCCGCGGAAGTATCAAGTTTGGCGCAGTTTTTTGCGGGAACAAAAGTTGCGGCAGGCCTCGACGATGAGAAGGATCCACGCGCCACGTGGGCGAGAATTCGGTCCAACTGCTTCCCAGAAAATAAATCCCGGAAGGAAGAGGAAGCTCTCGATCGAAAGCTTCAGCAGGGCTTCACAGCGCTCGCCAATAAACTTTTTTCAGACCGTTTACACCGTGTTTCCCCGGCGCTCATGTCGGCCGTGAGCACCATTCCCCCACAGGAGGAAATTCAAAAGACATGGAAGCGCGTCGAGCGATTAGAGGAGGAGTCGCGCAAAAATCCGGTTCCGCACGTGACAACGTCTGCATTTCTGAACAATGTGAACGTCAATGACGCCGAGATTGTATTTCGGCTTCAGCGATGGCGCTCAAACATTTACGAAAATCCTGACAGGCTTGAACGGGAGAAGAATGCACTAGATAGCTTGAAGCGTTATTTGGTGCTTGATCTCGAAACGACCACAGTGCGGCGGTACAAGCGTGTCGCGAATCCCTTCACGAAGGAGAATTACGTTGTCCTTTCGGGAGCCCGTGATCACACCGGAAAGGTGTTTATGGCAGGTCGTTACTTTAGCCGAAACATTGCGTTGCGGTACGATGACTTTGAGGTGACCAGCACGTGTGACCTTGTGGACGGATCATCACAGCACTCCCTGTTTTTACCGCCTCTCGATGACTACGATGTAATTGTCGGCCACAACATTAAATTTGACTTGCTACACATCTGGCGGGATGCGGAACTTCGTCGTTTTCTCAGCCGAGGTGGGAAAGTATGGGACACGATGTACGCCGAGTATTTGCTCACTGGCCATGAGGTGAAGCTCGGCCGCGGTGCCGGCCTGGAGGATATTGCAAAGTCATATGGTGGCCAAACCCCAAAGTTAGATGCCGTGAAGGAAGCCTGGGCAAAGGGTAAAGAAACGTACGAGATTCCGTACGCATTGCTGTCTGAATACCTGCATGGCGATCTGGAGAATACGGAACTCATTTTCCGAAAACACATGGAACGTGCTCTCCTGCAAAGACAAGTTATCATATGTACCGCACGCATGGATGGCCTTCTTTGTACGACAGAGATGGAGTACAACGGTCTGAAAACAAACGTGCAGCTTGCTGTGACACAAAGCAATGAGCTCATGGGGAAAGTGGTGGAGCTTCGGAATCATCTTGATGACGCCATTCCTAAGGAAATTCCTCCCGACTGTCGCAAGTATTTCAACTGGTCATCCAATCAGCATCTTATCGCCTTTTTCTTTGGTGGTAAATTAAAGCTGAATACAAACGCCCGCGAAAGCAAAACTTTGCCTGGGGAGGCATTTGACCGCCACACACTTTACGTCCCGGCCGAGGAGTACAAGGCGGACCGCTTTCCAAAAGGGGTCTTTCTCCGCCCACCGGTGCATGTGATTGGCCCTGCAGACTGCCTTATCACAACTGGCGGTTCACTGGACAAGGGCACGAAATTATTCAAAACATACTATGAGACATATGTGAAACAGGCTGGTTTTCGTAAGAGTTCTTCCATAGCAGACTCACTGAGTCGTGAGATGGTTGCCGTATCCAGGACAGAGTCCACCAAACGGAGTGAACCTGAGGCCCTCGCCAATTTGCTTCCCAGGCGCCATCTCTTTTTTGTCGCAGCGATCACTCCCACCGTGGAAGACACAATTGGAAAATTTTTTATCAAAAACGCTGTGACCGGTGAATCACTGACGATTTTAGCGGATCATAAAGAGAAGGCCGCCCGGATTCGTGCTTTTATAGAAGAGCAGGTAAAGTTACATACCGAAATGTTGCTTCCCGCAGATGAGGAAAATGACTCTTCCTCATCTAGTATCAGCGCCTTTGCGGATGCTCACGTAACTATTCTGGCCAGAGATGCCCCCTTCTCCTTCACACGCCTTATGCACTCGGATCCGGGTATTAGGGAGTACCTGGCGTCGCACGACGGCCTTAGCTCCGTACCGGAGCCAAAAGATCGTTACGTAATTAGTTTAGCAGACACCGTTTCTATAATTTCATATTACCGACACATGTACGGTGCTCAAACAGAGGCGGCATGGAGGTCTCGCGGTTCCACAGATGAGTCGAAACTCGTATATCCCTTACGGGCATTCCCATCCCCTGGTCCCTCCAAGAATGCGACGGCGGATGCGTTTAAAACCAAATTGTTGCAAGAGGCAGCCATGAAGTTAGAGGATTGGTGTAATTACTACATCGATGTTTTTCTCCACATTGGTAATGCTGCATTGCAAAGCGAGGCAATGGAACCTGTGGTTACTGCGAAAAAAACAAGAAAGTCAAAGAAGAATAGTGCCAGCCGAGGGGCATTCAATCTTCCAATTCTCCTCCGTGACCGTCAGGCATTTGTTGCGTATCATAACTCACTACCAAATGATGAGCGTCGGCGATTGGCGTTGATGACAATGATTGGCAGGACATGTGCTTCCGTTTACGATGCCTTTGCGGTACAGTGCTCACATGACGATGTAGTGGAAGTGATGATTCGTGGACGTCTCTCGACGTATGTGCCGAGTCAACTTGATGCTGAACAAGTGATGCGAAAGTTCCGAAGTTCAACAACGCGACAGTTGCAAGTAGGGGAAGACTCGCTGAATTACTTTAAAAAGACCCACGGAGATAAGACTGCCGAGACAATTTTGGAACTACGGACCATGGAAAAACTCATTGGAACATACTACGAAAATACAGATGACGGCACAGGAATGGTTTCTCTTGTGCACAGTGTGGACAGCTGCATTCACCATGAGCTTATACATAATAAGACAAACACAGGGCGTCTTGCGAGTGCCAATCCCAACTGCCAGAATATTCCAAAAGAAGATAAGTCGCCGCTGCGAGAGATGTTTGTTAGTCGTTATGGGGAAAAAGGAATGTGCATAGAGGCGGATTATTCCCAACTGGAGGTTGTTGCGTTAGCTGTTCTTGCGGATGATTTTCAAATGCTTGAGGACCTTCGTTCGAATGTGGATTTCCACTGTAAACGTGTGGCCATGATGCGTCCTGATCTCCAGTACACAGAAGTTTTACTGAGAGCGAAAAAGAACAAGGAACCGGAGTTTGTGAAACTACGCCAGCAGGCGAAAATATTTTCATTTCAGCGACAATACGGGGCGGGTGTAAAAATGATCAGTCAAAGTACAGGTTTGACCCAAGATCAGGTGCGTAACCTTATTGAAAAGGAGCGGGAGACATACCGTGGTGTGGATGCGTTCAACAGTATGGTCGCCTTGTCCGCGAACAACTTTGATGCCTCCATTCAAGATGGTTCACGCAATGTAAGAGGGCACCAGTTTTTTAAAGGAATGTTTCCCGTGATTACTGGAAGCCGTTACGTGTTTACCGAGTCTGACGTGCCGGAGGGTATAATGCGGGAGAAGTCGATGTCTGCAAAGTCTACAAATTTTTCCCCAACACACCTTAAAAATTATCCCGTGCAAGGATTTGCGGGAGAGATTGTGCAGATTATGTTGGGCATGCTGTGGCGACACTTTTTAAGGAACAACAACTACAATGGGCTTGCAGTGCTCACCAATACGGTGCACGATTGCGTGTGGATTGACTGCCATGCCGATATATTCCTGCAGGTCGCGGATGAAGTGGAGACAATCATGAGTAACGTGCGAGAGGTTCTTAACCGCCTCTACCCGGAGATGAATATCACCGTAGACTTCCCATGTGATGTAGTTGCCGGTGAGAACATGGGTGCACTGCGCCCCATTGTCCGTGAGGAAACGCTGTAATGCTGCGGGCAAGAAGAGAAGTTTAATAGTCGTTGTTGTTGTTTTTGTTTTTGTTAGTTCCTTCCTCCGCTAATAAGCAACAGTGAGACATAGAGACGGATAGAAACAGAATACTTCATAGAAGATAAAATCCTTTTTTTTTTTTTTTTTTGACATGAAGGCGTGAGAGGAATCGGAGCCTCGTAAAGAAATGGCAACAAAAACTGTCTTTGTGGTGCATGTCACCGCACCATGCCGAGTGCCTTTTTTCCCCCTTTCTTCGATGGTTTTATTATTATTATTATTATTTCTTTGGTCCTCAGTGCGTCATGAATTGTTGTTGTTGTTGTTGTTTTTGCTTTTTTCTTCTTTGGTTTGAGTATGACTGGTGCTGCTGACCAGTAGCTTACGAATAGAAAAGAAAAAACATATATAATAATAATAATAATAATAACGGGATTATAAGCGGCCAGGAGTTTACAAGTCGGTGTTTCAAATGTTCTGCACTTTCACTTTGCTGGTGGTGGTCACCGTGCTGATACTCAATCACGTACTCTCTCGACTGCGGTTCAAGCCCACCCGCACCAATTACGATTACGATGCCATCATTGTAGGTGGAAGCATCGCTGGACCGGTGATGGCAAAAGCACTTTCAGAACAAAATCGGAAGGTTCTACTGCTTGAGCGTTCTCTCTTTGTCAAACCGGATCGCATTGTCGGTGAACTCTTGCAGCCCGGTGGGATCAGCGCGTTGAAACAAGTTAACATGGAAGGGTGTGCCACCTCTGTTGGTATGCCCTGCGAAGGGTACATGTTGCTGGATGCAAAAGGAGTTGGGGTGAAACTGCCGTACGGGGCGGGCTTTCAAGGCGTTTCCTTTCATTTCGGCGATTTTGTAAACAATTTAAGGGAACATGTCTGGT